TGGTTTAAAAGGTTTTAAAAGTTTTTTTTTTTCAAGTTTGCTGCACTGTTGAAGAAAAATATACATGCAACCATGCAGGCCTACAGACATATTTTGCTGCGCAAGCGCCTGCACTTTCACTTAACTGAAGTAGTAAAGGCAGCACAATGGAAAAAGGCAATATTGGATAAATTGTTCTGAATGGGTTATAGCCTAGAAAGTGCGCAAAGAGTGCTCCCCCTTATAATCATTAAAAAGTTGTCACTCATCTTGGTTCTTCGAGATCTCTCAAAGTTCCGATATATTCAATGAAGCACTACACTACTGCACAATTAATCTCTTATTTACATCATGTGTACAGTTTGTTTGTTCTAATAACAGGATTTGCGAGTGCGCACAACTCAGAACACTGAACAAAACTCCTGCTTTATGAGCGATGAGTGGATTCTAATGTAAACACCTCTGATTGGCCACTGCGTTCATGAAATCAACAGATATGTCTGTGATTGGCTACAGTGCTCAATGCTGCAGATCATCTTAATTTGTTAATTATTTAAGTGAAAAATATTTTGTGTAGGCCTATTTATTTTATTATTTTTATTTATATTATTTTATTCTGTTTTTCTTTGTTCTCAGAAGCGCTGCTGGTGTATTTTTAATGGGTCACAGACACGCGCCCATTCTGTTATTTATTTAATACTAATTTAATATTCAAATCTTCTCAGTTAACGGTTAGTGTTCGGATAACGAGTGGCGGTTGTCGGTCGGGAAAATGAACCGAAATGAGCATCCCTATTCAAAAGCACAATTTAGTTTGACTACTTTAGTCACTTAGACTGTCTTGACCTCCTACTGCATGTCAGGGACCCCAATCACAGCAGTCTTCACATTAGGGATCTCAGCTGACATGTCATATACTGATCTACACTTCTTAAAACAGTTAATTTACTGCATTGGCTTCCGTGCTCATTATGATTAATCTCCACTTTTCAAGTACTGAACAGTGTTTACTTCCATTCTCTGATTATTAGATACACTACATGACAATAAAGACATTTAGAATGTTATAAAAGATTTCTATTTAAAAAAAATGCTGTTCTTTTGAACTTTCTATTCCTCAAATACTGATGCTAGAAAATTGTATCACAAGGTTTCCACAAAAATATTAAGCAGCACAGTTGCTTTCAACAAATATTAAGAAGCAATAATAAGAAATGTTTTTTTTTGTACACCACATCAGCATATTAGAATGATTTCTGAAGCATCATGCGACACTGAGGACTGGAGTAATTCAGCTTTGCCATTTCAGAAATAAATTACATTTGAAAATATATTAAAATAGAAAACAGTATTTTAAATTGTAATAATACTTCATAATATTACATTTACCATATTTTTGATCAAATAAACACAACTTTTGAACAGTAGAGTATATCTAAATATTCTGTTATTTTCTAAAATATATATGTTAAATATTATATATAATAATGACAGAATGGCAAAACACTTTCTGTTTGTTGTGTTTAAAAATCTATTTAATATCATGCTGTGATGTTGTGAATAGAAAAGTGCAAGAAAATTATATCAGAATTAGTGGAAGTGCTAAATTTGTCATGTTCCAGTTCAGCTTTGGACTGATGGATGAAATTCAGGTGGAAAGCAGCAGTGAGATTGCAGTGAACATGAGCCTTAATGAAAACTTTTCCAACATCAGGAGTCTCCAGGCAACCACCATGGTTACGATGGAGTCGTTCTGTGAGTCATATTACACCGATGTCACTACCTCCTTGTTGTCCATACTAACATGATGGATAAGCCTAATTAAAGAGGTTTAGCTCATAAATTCCACACTTGTCTTCTTCATTAAATACCACCAGTTTACCAGTACAAATAGTTTTGTCAATTGTAAATGTTTATTGCCTTTACTGAAAGAGGTGAAATATCAGTTGTGAAACTTAAACCCAGAAGCTTAGTCAGCTGAAAAGAGACTACAAACCAAAGTCTTTTACATTTCTTTTCATATTCAAAAATATACCTGGGGCCAGATTAATAAAACACCAAGAATCTTCTTATTAACTGCTATTTTCTTCTTATTTTCTAACTTAAGAATAAAGTTAAGAATATTTTGTGTTCCCAAAAACATTTCTTAAAAATGTTCTTATCTTTTAAGATTTAAGATTGTTCTAAAGACAAATTTGAGAATAATGATTTGAAATGTTCATTGTAAATAACCACTTAAAGTTAGGATAACCTACACCTTGTCTTAAATTCTCAAATGTAAGATCTTTCATGAATTTGAGTTGTTAATGTAAACAATGGCTGGTCACAATTATGCGTTTTGCTGAATTTGAAATTCACTAACAATTATACAAGAACTACTTTAAATAAGGACCTCATTCTTAATTTTATTTTCAGAAGTATCATTTTCAGAAGTACACAGATACAGGACACATTCACTCTATAGAGAGAGCTAAGGAGACGGAGAGCAAACGATTGCAGCAGAACACTCTTTAGACAGGCTCTTTAAAAATACATAACACATTGGAAAATGTGACTCCAAGAGCTGAACTCCCATGACGAAAATAGTGTGTCTGCTTATTATGATAATTATGATAATCTGCTGGGGGCGCAAAAAGATGGCCTTTGAGGTGTTTTAAGGTCATTTTCTCCTTAAGAATAAAAAAATATTTTCTTGAATCTGACCCCTGGTTGAATTACATTTGACAGGTCGAACTTCCCAAGGGATTCCCTACATTGTTTAGCCTCATTCTGACCACTGTCTAAAAGAATATGGCCATGAGTAGAGCCTATTCATTTTGACAGCACTAGTTTTGGCATAAAATGCCTGAGGAGCTCTTAGGAAGAGGTTTTGTATGGAACAGCTTCATTGTGGACAGCAGAGTGCAAAAGAGAATACCAAGCTTTCCAAAGACAGAAAAACTTGAAACAGAAGTGAAAGAAACTGCAAATGGATGATCCTGCTAACAGCTCCAACTGACAGACTTACCCTGATGGTAAGAAATTCATGGGTAAATCAGTATAGCCACGCCTGTTATCACAAGCTCAAATTCAATACATCACAATGATATAAATAAAATTATATCACAAACTGAAATCACATTAGCAAAACACCCACTGCAGTCCCCCAAATCTCACTGAAATCACTTCATATTGGCAAATTTGTTTTCAATATTAGTTCCAGTTCTCCTTAAAGGTGCACCAAGCGAATTTTGCCAAACAATGTTGATATTTGAAAGCACCAAAACAAACACACTCGCCCCATACCCCAACAGGACCTCAGCCCACACGTACGTACACAACCCTGGCAGCGACGATGGCGGAATCTGCTATGCCTGCCAGCCGAGGGTATGATGTCATCAACAAGTGAAAGCGATGTGTGTTACTATGGTAATTCAATGTAAACTCACCTATCAAGAAGAAACAAAGCAACCTCAGCGTCCCATTCCAGGCCTTCCCGCTCCTTGAGTTCTCTGCACCTCTGGAAAGCTGCTCCGATATTTACGCTGGTCCTACCTCTCGCCTGATTGTAACCCTTCTTTTTAATGATTTTCCTCTTTTTTTTCTCTCGATCTGCTAATATTCATCCTGTGCACTCACTGAGTGCTCTCTTCTCCCTATCATTACTAGACAAACCCTTACTGCTGATTGGCAGCGAGTGTGTTTTGGGACTCGGTCCGACACTGTGGTCAAAAGCGTTTTTCAAATATTGCTTAGTGCACCTTTAATGGTTTTGTGGTTTGTCTGGTGGCTGCTCAGATACTCTTTGACATGATCAAGACAACTCTAAAGTCTCACTGCATCTCACTGAGGTTTTGGAAGAAGAGAGAGGGAACAGACAAGCAGAGAGAGTCTGAATTGCTGTAACTGAATGCTCACACACACATGCACTGAAGGAGCTGTTGCCTGAGGCATGTTTGTGTGGAGTGTTATTGATTGATGTGTGAGGGAAAGCTTGGACCTATGTGTTCTTAAACCCCACAGAATACAGTCAAAGCTCTTTCTCTTCCAAACACACACACACACACGTGCACATATAATCACTCTCTCTCCACACATGCTCATTCCATTAAAGACATTACCAGGTTATTAATAGATGATCATTTGTGAATTCCTCCCTCTGGGTTTTGATCTCTGAAGGAAATCACGTTTGTGCCTAACATCAGTTACCAAGGAGCACAACTCTCAAGCATCCACTCATCTGTCACTCTCCTGGTTTTTCCTTTGCACTTAATTTCTTCTCAGAGATCTCATATCCTCCCCGGTGTCATATATTTACGATGAGGCATTTATGGACTGAGCATATCTGACTACTCACGTTTACTCTTGTGGCTGTAATTATCTTATTGCCCTCTGCTATATGAAGATGAGTTACATCAACAGGCTGCCTCTCCCTGGAAACCACAGGAGCTGTGCAAATGTGCGTGTTTGTTTATCTAAATAGCTCACATCTGTTTTAGCAGCAGACAGGCCAACATCTGTTCCTCTCCATAACGCATCTGCCCTGAGTCTGCGGTTCAACATATCACTGCAGATCTCTGCTTCATTCATCTACATTAACTGCATTTCCTTTATCCTGTTTTATTCTTAATTGTGTTTGTGTGCACAGGTTCATTTTTCATCCACAAGGTAACCATCTGGGGTAAAATATTCCCTGAGAAAGGTTGTACGATCTGAAGTATTAAACTGTAAATTCACACCTTCTTCATTGCTTCAGTATCCTTCCCTTTCTTCTGCGCTTTTCTTTTTATAGGTAATAATAGTTTCAGTCACCTTTCCTGCATTGGTTAGACTTGATCTAATCCAGACAATTGAACATGACTCCACACATATAAGCTGTCTTTCTAGTCTTACCGTGCTGTGTAGTCTCCTTCTCTGGCTCCTCCAGGGTTGTTTGAGTTATTTTGCTTTCCTTTGATTCTTTTTTAGTTAAAGTGATACTCCACCGTTCTTCAGTGCTATCCAGTGCAACTGTTCTCATATCTCTCTCACGGCCGCTCTAGGTGTACAAGCAGCAGGCGTCAGCGAGTGTATGCACTCTGGGTCGGCGTCTGCGCGAGCAGGAGGAGGACTTTGCGGGGAAAGCGGAGAATTATCAACGAGAGATCCGGCACCTGCAGAGCCAACTCAGAGACAGACAGGAACAACTGCACGGAGCTCTGCAGCAGAAGAGGTGATCCTCTCCCTCTCACACACACACTCTCCCCCTCTTGCTTTGTGTGAATAAAGGGATACAGCAGAAGAGGTGAGAGCAGTAGTGGAGCAGCAGCTGTCACAGAGGCACAGACCAGTAACACAGTGGAGAGAGAGAGAGAGAGGAGGGGCTCTAGACAAGCTGGCACAGCTGCAGACTCATCTGTCTAAATGTTCCATGTACTCTCAGAATTATGAGCTCTCATAATTACATTCACTTTTCTTTCATTTGCTTCTCTCTCTGTCTTATGGCCCTGTGTACCTGTTCATTCTTGCAGCTTATTTTTTACTATTATTTAATTTCTGACTAAAATCATAAATAAATTTAAATTCAGAAATTTGAAATCTGTGCTGTACTCTCTCATGCCTAAGCATTTGTCATTTTTAACATTATTGGTAACACTTTAAAGTAAGGTTCAATTTATTAACGTTAGTTAATACATTAAGTATCATGAATTATACTTTTACAGTATATGTATATATATTTGTACGTAGATTTTTACATTTCAAGTTTTATTTAACATTAATGTATTATGAACAAACAACATAACGATAGTATATATTTATTAAATAGCATTATCCTAGATTTAAAGGGGTCATATGATGTTGCTAAAAAGAACATTATGTTGAGCGATTAGCAATGGTAATGTCTTTAATGGACCCCCTGTGCTGTCAAATCTGTTTCAAGCAGAGAATGAGCATGTGTGGAGAGAGAGTAATTATGTGTGTGTGTGTGTGTGTGTGTGTGTGTGTGTGTTTGGAAGAGAAAGAGCTTTGACTGTACTCTGTGGGGTTTAAGAACACATAGGTCCAAGCTTTCCCTCACACATCGATCAATAACACTCCACACAAACATAACTTTTACTGATTTGAGACTTTAGTCTTTGCAACTTTACAGATCTTCTTTGTGCACCAAGAGCTTGTAACACTCCAAAGAGAAAGG